GTCGAAATTAGTCATACAATTTCTCGTTTCATAAATTAAAAAGTGCTTTTAGGTGTTACAATTGGCATGACTTTTATTATATTTAATTTTTCAAATAATCGGGATTAAACAGATGGTTAGTGTTTATAAAGCACAGATTTTTGGGGCATTTTCTGTATATTTTTAAGGCCAAAAACATCGTAAAAGTTGTCGGTGGCGTTTCGTGCTTTCGCTGATGTTGTGGTGTTGGCGGCTTTCAGATTCGCCCGACGACAGCCGGGGAGTGTCCCCCTGTCACAGCGCCAACCAGACCTTAGGTCGCCGAAGTTCATACAAAACCAGCAGAGGTCAGTATGGTCTCTTTACACCCTTGATACCCATCCACTTTTTCCCATTCCTGGTACCCGGCGGCTAGCTTTGACGTATTTATCGTAAATGTTGTTGTTGTTGTTGTGCACGCTCTTTTTTATTTCGTTTTATTTGCATCCATTTCATTTAAAAAAAAAAAAAGAGAGAGAGAAAAAAGTGACGACGTATGTGCATCGTCGTTTTGTTATTTATTTTTGTTATTTGTTGTTGTTTAAGTGAAATGGAAACAGTAGTGTATGTACGTTACGATGTTTTTGCAGACCCCTCACCTGCCCAGGTCCGTGGCAGACCTAAGTATTCCAATTATCAAAACTTTAAAGGGCGCAAGTCTAGCTCTATGATGAACTTGTACGGTAAGACAGGTCTTGTATATCAGGTACAAAATGCTAGATTGGTCGTTGGGCATGGTCTCTATTTTTATTAAAATTCTTTTTTATTTCACTGGTTTGGTTTTTTTATTCTGTATTTTTGTCGTTGTTTGTCCAACTGTTCAACCTTTTCTGTCATTAGGCTTAGTTGGTGATGGTTCATAACGGTTTACTCCACCTCCTTTCCTAAACCACTTTAATTTAATTGTCACACCAAAACCCCCACCCCCCATATTCATCAATAGTTAGTCCTGCCTGTTTTTTTGTTTTTATTGTTCAGAGAAAGTAATGTACCGTGCTGTGCATACATTTTATTACAATCGATAGTTTTTCATTGCTTGGAAAGTGTTTTTGTACTTGCAGTTTATTTTTTAATTACTTCAACTTTTTCTAGATGAGTTAAATCTAGTGATTTCCAGATAATAATTTCTTTCTACATATTTAGTTAGGGGCTTAATTAAACAAAAGAACAAAAATCAAAAACGTTGTGAAAAAATTACGAACGTATGTCTTAAATAGTATCATCAACACCTGTCAGTTATCTTTCAAATTTAAAAATTCTTGAATACTTTTCTTGCATAAAATATTGATTAAAACAATTTTTTTTTTCGTTAAAAAGAGTGTCTTTTGCTGTTTTCCAAAAACTAAAGATTTTTTGCTATTAGGTAAGTGCGCTTTCTGTGATACAATAGGAAATTCGTTGTCTTTTCTTAACACTATAAAAAATAAGTCAAGATGAGTTAAACTTAAAACTTTATTTATTATACAAGGTGTTTATAAAACAAAAACATTTGTCTTGAATTGTAACATTCTTACTTACCTGTTATTTAACTGTCAAATTCACCAATTTTTGGGCAATAATTTATATTATTTTAATATTATAACAATTATTTATCTACCCTCTGTAGTATACAGGGTACGCCAGAACTCGCGCCCCAGAGAATTACCGTATAAGGTAAGTCTACCAGGAACATGGCATAAATCTTAAAAAAAAATTTATCTATAAAAATTTCGAAGTTATAAGGGTTTAAATTTTGCACTTTGACTCTATTTATTTCTGTTGGAAAAATAGTTTTCCAAGTTTTTTTGCTATAGGCTATTAAAAGAGGAAACAAGGAAGCTGTATCATAAATTGTAACTCTGTTCAATGTTATTTGTTGCTTTTATTGGCAAGATTTTTGTGCCTTTACTAAATAATTGTAAAAAAAAAACATATACATACAAGATGAACAGTATCATTAAATAGACATAAAAAAATGTCAAATTTCAAAAAATAAATGTCATAATTTTTTGGCAGATAGAGTTTTTTTTAACATTTTTTTCGTGTTCATAGTATCTTACCTTACTTGAAAATTTTCTGTGGGGCGCGAGTTCTGGCGCACCCTGTATGTATCAATTAAATGTAACAATCTATGCAAGACATACGTTTAAGTACTATTATTTTTTTTATAAACACCACGTGTTTAAAAATTATTTTCATCTAGTCGCCTATGGAATTTCTTTACATGGAATTTTTTTGTACCGCTCTACTGTTTTTACACCAGATAGTTCTGTCAACAGTGACAGCTGTCAATCGAAATAAATTAACATTTGAGGTTAATTATTATAAAATAAAATAATTTAATATTTTTTAAAGCGGCATTTTTATTTTACATGGAAATTCCATAGGCGAATAGATGAAAATAAACGTGTTTCAAAATGATTTTCACAAAAAAAAATTACATAATTATAGTTTCATAGACGATTTTGGAATTTCTTTCAACGTGTAATTTTTTTGCTTTGCTCTTTTTGAACCAAATAGTTCTGTCAACAGCTGTCAATCGAAATAAACCAACATTTAGGATTAACTAGATTCAATATACTTTAAAGCGGCATTTTTTTATTTTACATGGAAAATCCGTAGGCGACTAGATGAAAATCATTTTGAAACACATTTATTCTTAGTTGTTTCATTTTTTTAGAGTAGTTTTCGCTGGGATAAAAATTATAAGTGCCCTCTGAAATTGAACATTTCGTTCCTCCTCTGCACTAATATTCTTTTTTTCGGGTCAATTATTTATTTAACAAAGGAGAACAACGACGCCACTTCATTAATTAATTTATTTAATTAATCAAAAAAGCATTTGTAATAATTTTCTAACGCCAAAACGCAACGGTGCGGGGCATTACGTTATAACTTATAACACACACAATGTGTACAATTATTAAATTTCAAATCAAAGTCGTCTCTGACTTTAAAATTAAGTTGGTGACATTGAATAATTACTGTGATTCTTGTCATCAAGTAGGCGTCAAAAATCTTAGTTTGGCAACCTTGACTTTCAAATTTAAACGTCAAACTTTTATATGTAATTGTCATTCATTTATGACGGGCATGGCCGTCACCTGACACATCAGGATATAACAATAATTTCAATGTTGCCAATCGAAGTGACAGTTCAATGTTGCCAACTTAATTAGTAAGTGGCGGACATATTGAAATTGTTTTCGTTTTTGGCAGGTTCTAGCACGGACCAGGACAGTTTAGCGTATCGGTACGGCGATACCGATTCGGGTTTGGGTAGGGCTACGCCCCCACGACGTGCCCCCTCGCCAGGAATGGGCAGTATGAGGCATTTGACGTCGCCGTCGGGGCCCGGCAGTCTGCCAGGACTGATGTCGAAAGGCAGGAGAATATTCGATGATGGTTCGAGTGATATTAGTTCGACGCCGAGCAGTATGATGGATTATACAGGTCCACGATTGTACAAACAGCCGGCGACGAAATCGAATCGTGGTATAATGTTGAATGCGGTGGAGTATTGCGTCTTCCCCGGCGTGGTGAACCGCGAAGCGAAGAAACGCGTCCTTGAGGAGATCAATCGATCGGAAAGCAAGCATTTTTTGATACTTTTCAGGGACGCAGGCTGTCAATTTCGAGCTCTCTATTCGTATTGTCCCGATAGAGAGGAAGTGTTCAAGTTGTACGGGACGGGACCCAAGCAAGTCAACGACAGGATGTTTGATAAATTCTTCAAGTGAGTGCAAAAAGTTTCTTCTATTCACAATCACTATCATAATACAGGCTGAGTCATGGTAAAGACCCTGACCGATTTTTAGAAGCAACCCAAAATACATTCTCACAGTCAATTTTGCTTTTTGTATGTTTGAAAAATTTAGTTTATTAAATTCAAATCAAAGTAATTGTTGATATGTCATTAGTTAAATTTGACAGTGTCAAAAATTCCACTTTCTTTTTCTCTTAAATTTAAAACATACTCAAACGACGAAAAAAACTGTCATGACCTTGACAAATGGAAAATGACACAACATGTTATGGCTGAATCTGTACTGTCAAAGGTCCAGCGTAGGATTCCAAGTTATAAAAATTGTCAAAGTTATCACAGGTATCTATGTTTATATCTTTGAAAAATTTCAAATAGAACATTAATTAACGCATATGTACATATCTGAGAATGTATTTTGGGTTGCGTCTCAAAATCGGTTAGGGTCTTTATTATATATAACTCACCCTATACCGACTCCTTTGAGAGGTCGGTAAATTTGTTATTACATCCCATAGTCGGGAAATAATTTATGAAGGATTGCCCAGGTTACAAGCTAAAAACTCTAAATTAGATGTTGATTGACAGTAATAGTTACCCAATGTTAAAAAAAAATAGGAAGCGACGAGTCCACGCTCCAATGGAATCTGTATACTTTGGTTTGAAACCTTGATAAGTTTTTGTACACCCGGGGAAAAATTTATTCATGAGTCTAACTTTTTACTCGGGCTATAGCCTTTCAGGGAGAGCAGGTAATATGTCGAACAACCCTTATTTAACTTTTAAATAAACTGTGAATTTTGCCAATTTCTATCAAGATATTTATTTCTTTTATAATCATAATTCTGAACTTAATAGATTCTACAATAGTCAGTCAAAAGGAAACAAATTTGTACCTTTGATTTTACGCCCAAACTGCAAAGGAAATCCTTTTTTTTTCTAGAGTAGATGTTAAACTATTTCTATATAAAGTCTTTTGAGTAGATAAAGTAACACTTTAACAGTTTTTATTCTTCGACACTGTCAAAATTTACGGTTTTTCTCCCGTCTAAGGAAGTTGTTGAACTGTTTGGCATTTCTCAATACAAAACGTCAAATTATTTTTAACAGATTTAAAGCAAGTTTAAGCCTTGTTGAGTCTAATTCGAAGAATAAAATGTTGTATTCCACTCGTTTGAGTGTAAATCGGACGCTTTATTCCACCTCGTGGATGGTAAACCACTCGTTACACTCGTGGTTTAAAAATCCACTCGGTCAAATAAAAAGAGTCCGATTTACACTCAAACTCGTCGAATAAATAACTATTATCTGAAACGAACAAATCTGTAATTAAAACTTTATTATTCTGACTCAGTGGAAAGAAAAGTTAATTTTTTTCTTACTTTTGGACTTGTAATAATAATTTTTCTTTGCTGTTCAAGTCCCATCACATTGGCGATTTTATTTTTTGACAACGATGTTAGGATGTCACTTTGCCAATTAATTAATTAATTGAATGATTGTTTTTGTTAAAAATGACAGTTTTTTTTTCTGGTACCTATACAAAAATTTACTTTTGTGTTTTAATAATTTTTTGTTGATTGTAATTTTTTCTAAGAACTAGACCAAAAACATCAAAAATTATAACATTTTATAAGCAAATATAATTTTATTTATTAAAAAAAAATAAACATTTACATTTGAGTTAGATAGTTATTTTTAATCTTTACAAATTTACAAAAATATTAAAATTACAATAACTCTTTATTATTTCTTCAATACTTCGAATAAAAAACACAAGGATTAATTTTTTAGTTTTTTAAGTATATTTTAGTACAGCTTATTTAACTTTTGAAATCTTTTATTTTCTTTTTTTATTTTAGTACAGCTTATTTAACTTTTGAAATCTTTTATTTTCTTTTTTTCTAAATTTTGAATTTTATGTATAAGATAAATTTATTATATTGCACCTGGAACATTTTTAAATCAAAATCATGAGTATCACCTACTTTTAAATCGCTTTGTTGATCTAAATGGACTTGAAATTATATAATTTTTGTCAAATGAGTCTAGAGATGTCATCTATCGGAATTTACCATTGTGACAAGTTCACGATTTTGGCCTATTGGATAGGAGAAAATCAGCAAAGTAGCTGACCTCTGGTGTCAAGCTTGGAACTATCCAAATGTCAATTTGATAAATATGATTATTTGCAAGCGTTTTTGCTCCGTAGTTTATTGCAGAAACTATGTGGGAGGATCTATTTCGATGCATTACTTTCTAAAATGAAGATTTCAACTTTTGGCATTATTATTTTAAATAAAAAATGATCTTAAAAGACATTACGTGACAGATTAAATAAGATTTTTAAGTTGTCACAAAATTCCGTCAAAACCCCGCCAAAACGTCGCCGCACCGTCGTCTAAGCTACCCGCCAAAATTAGTAAAAGAGACATCTGGCACATCAACTGCAAACTATTCAAATGGGGAAAACATAATGATATTAGTACCATCTATTGACGGCTGATTTTCTCCTATACTTTATATTTCTGTCAATCAACGCATACTATTAAAATGAAATGTGATTGTGGATAAAATAGCATATAAACTTCGGTGGTAATTACCACGTCGCATGTAATATACTATTTTTGTTTTAGGTACAACTCAGGAGGCAAATGTTTTTCGCAAGTCCATACGAAACATTTGACGGTGACCATAGATGCTTTCACGATTCATAATTCGCTTTGGCAAGGCAAAAAGGTTAATTTACCTAATAAGAAAGACATGCCACTTGTCATTTAAGTCTAGTTCGTTGTTAATTAGTCATCTAATCATTTATTAATTTTTTGTTAACGCTTTATTAAATGTTATTATTTTTTTTTATGTCGGTTGGCTACACCAGAAGTGTATTTTTAGTTCGATGCAGCGTCTGAGATATTAGATAAATCACCTTTTTACCAACATGATGTATTATTGCAATTTCTCTGTATTTTTCTTTTTAAGTATTATGTGCCTTTTTTGTTTCAAGTCGGCTTTTTCTGTGCCAATTTGTTGAATACGACCGCTTTCATTTCGTTCTATTTGAAAGTACTAAAACGAGTCCATGGAAACAACAATAAAATTTATTATTAGTGTCATTCCAGTTGTATTTATATTTAAATAGATTAGATGAAAAAATGCAGGGCTGTTTTTGGTGGACCAACATTGGTTGTGTTGTCGATGATTTCTCACTAAATTCTTATTTTAATAAAATTCATCAATGGTTGAATCAGTGTTGGATTCCACCGCATTTTTTAAGTCACTAAGAAGAAAACTCTTTGCTTGAAATATATTTGTAAATTGTTTGTTTGTATGGAAAACACTAGCTTAGATTTTGTTTTTTATACATAGTGTGTTGACTATCGATGGAATCGATCGTAAATTTGATTCATATTCATATTTTTCCTATTGTGGATATTTCAGTGTAATTCTTTCGCGTTTTATAAAAGAAAACGAGACCTTTTTACTACCTATTGCCTACGAATTGCATTATGTTATTTAATATGATGTTACAACACTAATATTTCTTTCTGTAAATATTATGTTTTTATAATATACAAATATTTATTAATTTACACTTATACGAGTAAAACACTCAAATGTCAAAAATAAAAATGTAACAATAACCCAAATCGGGCTTTTATTTCTTCCCAACTAAGCCTTTGCACAAAATGAGTTTGTAACCAAATTTTGCAATTTTCTACCTTCCAAATTCAGTAAACTTCTCAAAGAAAAACGCTCCAAACAAAACAAAAATAATGCATTTGAGACCTGATTTTGCAAATTTCTGTCTTTTGGATAATTTTCCGAATTTTATAACTACTAGTAAGGCCTCTTCAGCACACATCATGTTTTTAAAGATCCTCTTGTTTTTAAAACATATTAAAGAGCCTTCGGAATCACCTGGTTTTTCTATTGGGCCACTTCAGGAGCGAAGCGAAATTTTTCCGAGATGGTAAAACATCCTATGTAAAAACTGTATTTATTATTGAATTGGGTTCATCTAGATGATATTGCAAAAAAAATAGACTGTATTAATGAAAATTAAATTAACAAATTTTTTTTTAATGTTCTGACTCATCTATTGATGAGTTGTTGAATGAGTTATCTTTCATTATTTCGGTTTTTTCATTGCCGGAATCTTCAAAATCTGTATCAGAGCTGGAAGACAAAATGTTAAATGGTTTAAGGGTGTCCGCGACCAACGATTCGAGACGTTAGTATATTGAAAACAAGATTACTCGCTTAATATGCAACAGAATTTCATGTATTATACATCAAAATAAAGCTTTTTTAAATCTACAGGCCGAGATTTAAAAAAAAATTAATACTTTTAAAAAAAGAACAAAAATGCATAAATGGTGAACTTGAAAACAACTTTACTCAGTCATTTTTCAAGTAATCAATTTTGGTTTTTGTAAGATGATTTAAAAGAATATTCTATAGGCCGATTCGTTGGCCTTTTTTAAAAAAGTGTTTAGTTTTTGAGATATTGTGATTGATGTATAAGTCACGATATTTAACGGTAGACCTAAAGTTCGTTCTAGGGTTTTGGTATTTATTACAAAATATTAATTCTTAACAAATTCAACAAACACCATGTAATAAAACACTGTTGTTTTTAAATTATTAATAAATATATTTTGCCGAAAAATGCCTCCTAGTTCATTGCTTTTACCACAAGAGGCGTTGCCAGCGCCGCTTCTGTGGAGGATCGAGGTCTCTACCTGCCCTTGTACCAACCCAAGCAAAGGATGGTCATATTTATCATGTAATTAGCATAATAATTTTCAGTTATTATTATTAGAAAACTAGAAGCAGAAACATTTGACGTGAAATGAGAAAACAAGCTAATTTTGTTGGAATCTCCCGTGTTTAGTAGACCTGACCATTTTTTTTCGAAAAAATGTGTGCCTTGTGAGGATCTAAGATTATTTATTATCTATAAGAGTTTTAATAAATAGCAACAATAATCAGACAAAATAATTTATTATACAACAAATTTACACCTATTATTAATTAAACAAATTTCGCCACCATAGTAACTAAATTGACTTATCCGTTCTGAAAAACTGTATTTTGGGTATTGAGTACCTAATACAACCATTTTTCATACTATTTTATTGGGTCTAGCAAAGACTCAGCTTGTTTCGAGAGCGCATACAAAAAAGTTTATTACTTTTAAACAAATGCTCGTCAGAAGTCTAAAACAAATAGTTTTTTAGCGGGGCAACTATGAAAAAAAATCATTGAAGAGATCGTTTTTGTTTTTTAATTTATCGTTGTTCTTCATAAAAAATGATTCGGCCTATCACAATCTTTTCTTTTATAAGGCAACTATAAATGAAAACTTCGCATTTTTCTACGGTTAGTGGTACCCATAAATGTGGCCAATGGCAAAAAATTGTAATGGAAAACAAGGACACTTTTAAATTAAAAAAACCTAGCTAAAAAAAATCATAAATTCCCCTCCAAAGAATATGAATTTTATAGTGCGCATTGTAAATTTGATATTCAGATGTACGGACACGGAATTTTAGACGATTTGTCATTCGGTTGACATAAAATGTAAAACTGACTTTATGTGCAATTTTTTTTTTGATTTTTGTAGTTTTTATGCTGACAGCTAAATAAAAGTGACCATAATTCAAAATAATAATAAAAAAATTATAACTATGTAAAAAACGTACTGCAACTGCTGGCATTATTGTATGAATTAGGAAATTGACGCCAAAAATAAATTTCAACTAAAACTTTCAAGTTTTAGATCCAAACGTCAATCATAATAACACTAAAGCGTGGCTTACGTTGATATATCTGACATATCTTGATGTCCAAAATTGCATAAATTTGTAATTTTTTCGATTGTAAAAATTTTAATTTATGGAATTATACAGGGTGCGCCAGAACCCGCGCCCCAGAGAAAAATTTCATGTAAGATAAGTACCAGTAACATGAAAAAAATGTTCAAAAAATTCTATCTGTCAAAAAATTTTGACATTTATTTTTTGACATTTGACACTTTTTTATGTCTTTTTAATCATACTGATGATCTTGTATATGTTTTTTTTTACAATTATTTAGTAAAGGTACAAAAATTTTGCCAATAAAAGCCACAAATAACATTGAACAGAATTACAATTTAGGATATATTTCCTTGTTTCCTCTTCTAATAGCCTGTAGCAAAAAAAACTTGAAAAATTATTTTTCCAACAGAAATAAATAGAGTCAAATTGCAAAATTTAAACTCTCATAACTTCGAAAGTTTTATAGATAAAATTTTTTTAACATTTTTTCCACATTCCTGGTATCTTACTTTATATTGCATTTTTCTCGGGGGCGCGAGTTCTGGCGCAGCCTGAATGTATGTCTTATTATCTCATGCAAAAATTTAGTTTCCATTGAAAATGGAACCTGTGAGCTTTCTAATTTAGTAAATATGTACAGGGTGCTGCATTTTGGATGTCCGAATAGGAAATCTCCGAAACTAAGAGGTTTAGCCAAAAACGAGTATAACATTCTGGGGCTCATTTTTTCAGAAAATAATATTGGTTAAAACCGCATCCCGCTATCGTCTTTTGTTTTCGACTTATAGACAAAAATTGACATTTTAGCGAAATCTAAAAAAATTCATATCTTCGTTATTATAGAAGACACACATTTGAAATAAAGACATTATACAGGCACTTTTTTACGTAGAATTTAATAATGTAGTTAACAATTTTTTTCAGTTGTTTGTTTAGCCGTAATAAAATAAACTTGTATCTTTTTAAATGGGAATCATAGATGGTATGTCATTTTTAAAAAGCTTGTTTTTTTCTTATTTAAAAAATATTTGTAACGAATTACGATAATACTTTTTTAGCAAAAAATTATCTTTGATTTTTGTTCGCAGTTGGCCATGAAAAAATGTTGCATCTTCAACTAAAAGGATTTAAACTATATTATTCAACCAGTGTCACTAATAAAAGAGTTTTCTATGTACTATGTAATGAAGAAAATTCAAAATAAATCGTAAATCAACTTATTGGCGACTAATAACATTTCTTTGTTTTTAAACAACCTAACATTACCATTGCAACTTCTAATGATACATAGAGTGTTGTAAAAAAAAGCCCCTTTAATTCTTCAATAAAATATATTTTATATGACACAAAAATGACGATATGGTTATTCAAATACCCAAATTCCGTCTATGTGAAACGTTATCCTACCTCCATTAGATCATCAAAAAATGTTTCTTGTAATTGTGTTGACTGTTGACACATTTGTTTTTTCTATTTTTGGATTTTTTAAAAATATGTAATAATTTTTTCTGAGGCGCTCGGATATTTGTTCAATGCTTCTACCGTATCGTATTTTTTTAAATCTATATAATTTTATCTATTTTTTCATCTATTTTACAGTTCACAAAACTCTTATTGATTATTATTTACACTTTTGGAATGAAATAGTTTTTCCATGGCCAACTATTATCACACAAAATATGTATTTCACTTTTTAAGTATAGTTATAAAAAAATATTTTGTTACAAATATATATTTTTTAGATCAGAAAAAAATAAGCATTTCAAAATTGCCAAAGCTGCCTATGATTTCCATTTAAAAAAATACAATTTTATCTTACTACGGCTAAACTAATGACTGAAAAAAATTGTTAAACTACATTATTAAATTCCTCGTAAAAAAAGTGCCTGTATAATGTCTTTATTTCAAATCCGTGTCTTCTATAATAACGAAGATATGAATTTTTTTAGATTTCGCCAAAATGTCAACTTTTGCCTGTAAGTCGAAAACAAAAGACGATAGCGGGATGCGGTTTTAACCAATATTATTTTCTCAAAAAATGAGCCCCAGAATGTATCACTCGTCTTTGGCTAAACATCTTAGATTCGGAGATTCCCTATTCGGACATCCAAAATGCAGCACCCTGTACAACCTATCAGGTAGATAGGATAATTGTGATTCGATTTTTTTAAGATCCAAAAGTCAAAACAATATTTAGCTTTCTAAGAAATTTAAAGCAACTTCCACAAATTCAAGGCATAAAAATATTAGCGAACTGATCTTTTACTTTTATTACAATTTATTACCCTTACTAACCCAACCCCTGAACACAGGTAAAGACTGAGTTTGGACCCTGCCTAGGGTGTATTGCTGGTTGCTTTTGAAAAAGAATAATAAGTGCTGAAAACCGACTTGCCCGTTCACTCCCGGACAGCCTTAAACTACTGTTTGGTCTTTCTTACTTTTCAGTCGAATTCTGGTACTCGGGTCTCTCAATAGGTGGCAATTTCAATTTGAAGACATCAGCCTGTTCTTCACTATGAAAGTTTAAAATACATTTTTCCCACAAAAAATCCTCGTGTAAGTGTAAGGTAACGACAGTCTTCACCATGCTGCAACTTACTATTTGCCCACATGGAATTAGTAGCAAGTTCTTGCCATTGGAATTTACTTGAACGTGATAGTTATCTTCAAACTTCACAATGCGTACAGTCCCAGTATATGTTTTGGAGATATTATGGAGACTAATTATAGTTGCTTCACCATCTCCAATTGTAACGGAAGTCATTTTGGTTTTCAGTCTCCTTCTTTGGATTAAACGAATTTCTTGTAATGCACGTGTTAGTGCAGGTAAAGGCTCGGCACCACTAAAAAGATATGATAAAATAAAAACCGCAGCTTTTTAATATAAACAAAAAATAATAACTTGCGATAATTGACCTAACCTCACTTTATTCAATTCAAAATGATGATAGTGTGCAACATAAATCCATCATTAATTAAAATATTTCAATACTACTTACGTGTAACAACAATCCATATTGTTCAACAGTTACAGAAATTATTGTTGATAAAGAAAAACAAAAATATAAACAACATTAGGTCCAGTGCGCAAGTGCAGTACTTACAACCACAAAACAGTACAGAATAAGAAATGAAATCTCCCTAGAAAATCACTGGCAACACGAATCCCAAGTTAGAAAACGAGCCGGGATGAGTTCGCCAATGCCATTATAAAACGAGTATTTTATGCTATTTTTTCTAATTCGCGCCCCCTTTTTTCTTATTTTAATTAAAAATAATATATTTTTGTCTTCTAGAGAATTTTGTTAGTTGGTATCGGTTGGTGACACTCGGCGCCCACCTGATTTTTTTGAATCATTTCTGCCGTCTGTCATTAAAAATAAAATTTACAAATTATTAGTTGTTAGTGTTACAATATAATAATAATAAAATATGAGCCAACAGAATTTAGTTTGCACTCCGCCCGAAATTCGCGAAATTACACTTGAGTAGTTAGGGTTGAAATTTTTTCAAAACACTGTTCAATATAATAATAAAAATGACCAGACACTTTTTTAATTCATATAATAAGTTCACAAGTACATCTAACAATAAAAGTTAAAATAATACTTTATTGTAGGTGGGTATCAATTTTTTTTAATTTTTGAACTTGGTTGCTTCATATTGCTTGAAACGGCTACAATATTGGGTGTAAGCAAAGTAAAAATTGACCATAACTTCAAGTGAAATTTCATGTAAATAACGCTTAACAAACAGCGAACCAATTCGGCGATTTAAAAAAATTTATATTTTTGTCGCCTAGAGAATTTTGTGTTAGTTGGTATCGGTTGGTAACATTCGACGCCCACCTGTCTTTTTGAGTCATTTCTGCCGTCTGTCATTAAAAATAAAATTTACAAATTATTAGTTATTAGTATTACAACATAATAATAATAAATAAAATTTGAGAAACAGAATTTAGTTTGCACTCCGCCCGAAATTCGCGAAATTGCCGTAGCAACAACGCAAAATTTGTTACTTGACAAGTCAGAAGCGGCATCCAAAAACTAAATAACCCTAAATTCATTAAAGCACAGTGTGCTTTTATAGAGCCATAAACGACTCCTACGGGAGACGTTAATAAACGTATTATAAACGCAAATTAGAAAAACGTATTATAAACGCAAATTAGAAAAAAGATCTAAAAAACTTACAAAATACCGTGTTTTTAAGACTCCAAAATGGCTTTTTCTGGACCAGGACATTTGGGGTCTTCAAAAAACAAGGCAGAACCCTAAAAATTTACCTGTTTTCCCAAAAGTCGTTTCGAAATTTTATTATTTCATCATCAGGGCTGTTGTACAGATGTTATTAATAATTAGGTACGTGGTGGAAAGATTATTTTGTGTGTTACTTTATAAGAAAATTACTACATCAGGAGTTTTTTTATAAAATGATTTTTCATCACTATAAATATTATATAAATTGATAACACATTAAAAATCGACAAAACAGTTAAAATTGTGTTTAAAATGGCGTATAAATTATAACATTTAGGTAACGATAAGTGTCTTAGTGGTAAACAAACTTACAAGATGAAAAATCCCTAGATCTCCATATTGTTGACATTTTGATGATGAAATAATAAAATTTCGAAACGTCGGCTATTTAAGGAAAAATTTTTTATTTGTCCTCAACTCGTGATCCACTATGACGTTAACACAACTAAAAATTTTCTGTCTTGTTTTGGTGAAATTTTTTGATTCAGTAAGTTTCTGAATAAAAAAGGCTCCAAGTCTACCAATGCAAATGAAAATAGTACGTTTCAAACCTAGTTCAGTGATTTGGAAAAAACAGAATTTAGTGATGAGTTTTTCTTTGTAATAACAAAACTTATGTTTTTTTCTTGATTTTCCGTACTCCACTTCTAATATAAGTCAGTTTATGGGTAAAGGGGAAGAGAAAAGTACGGAAAGCATTATTGAAAGTGTTTATTAATAATCTTAAAGTAAATATTACTTAAAACGAAACGTCAGGTACAAAATGTAATTGTTTTAAACACGCGTCATTCACCCATTCACATTCCTTAAAAATAAATATTTGATATAATCGTTTGGTATTCAATATACAACAGTGCGACACAAATTGAAAAAAAAATCTTAATTAAATCGTTTTAAATATAAAAACCGCCTGTCTTGGGAGTCTTCCCCCCAAAAAACTCAAAGTCTTTTGCGATAAGGAACTCGTAGTGTAGTCATGGACCTGTCACAGGCTCAAAGAACAAAATTAATACATGTTAATACTATTGGACGAATGATTTCGATTAAGCGACATATCGTCAAATGACTAGAACCAACAACTGTATCGTGGAAATGCAAAAAAAACGGTGCTTCCCCCAAAAAATTACGTATTGAGTCGTCAAAAAATAACCACAGCCTCTTCATTGACATTTCCATTAAACATTGGAGACGACGTAGCCGTTAGGGGGCGCCGCAGTGTGCGCCAAATAGTCCCCATTGTCTTCGTTGTTCCTCCTGTTGTCGTCGTGGTGTATGGCGACGTATTTGCCGAAGTTGAGGAGGCTCGAATTGGACTTGGAGGTGCCGAGGAGGGGCTCCCGGGGGCAGCAGTTGTCCGTGGCCGTGTCGAGGTACGGCACAGGGGGGGCCACCCCATTGGGGATCGTCGGAGAGACCTTGATGTCGCTGCTGGAGCATTTGCGGAACTGGTCAGGGAGGTTGATTTCCAGCTGGTTGGTGTCTTCGAGCTGGACCGAGGCGAGGGGCACCTCGAGACAGGGGTGGATCAGGCGGGGGTTGTTGGCGAGGAACTCGACGATTTCCGACGCACGAGTGCGCATCTTGGGGTCCTGGTGCCAGCAGGATTTCAGCAGGCCTCTCCTGCAAAAAGGAAAAATTTGAACAAGGGTGGAAAACAAACACATCAACATTTCAAAATCCTACCGACTGCGCCAATCAAGTTTGTAAAAAAAATTAAAAAATCCACAAAAGTTAAATTTTTATCACCCTTTTCAAAAATATGGATTTTCTGGGTTTCTACAATTACAGAAATGTGACTAAGTTTCTAACATTCATTAATTTTTGAATTCGAGAATGGCGGAATTCTGTTTTCAAAAGTTTCAAGTTCTAAAGGTTTTTAATTCCAACTTTTCTGGATTTCAATATGTTTCCATTTTTATATTTTTAGAACTAAAAATTTTTAGCTTTATTTATTTTTTAAGAGTTCGAAGCATTTTTAGATTTTCAACAAGAGAAACTGAATTAATTTGAAATTTGTGACTTTCTCTCCGAAAAGCTTTATAGAAAATGGCTGATTTACACTTAAACCAAATTTCGGAATTTTGTACCCTGTTTGAATAAAAAATTTCAAATTTAGAAAGTTGAAAATCTATTATAAATTATAAAAACAAGAGAGTATTTCCAAGCCAGGGTGGAAAACAAACACATCAAAATTTCAAAATCCTACAGACTGCGCCAAAAAAATCAAATTTTTATCTCGTTTTCAAAAATCAGTAAATTTCTGGACTTTCTGGATTTCTACAATTATAGAAATGTCAATAAGTTTCTAATATTCATTAATTTTTGAATTCTATAATGGCGGAATCTGTAATTCTGATTTCATAAGTTTCAAGTTCTGAAAGTTTTATAATTTTGAATTTAAGAGTCAACCTTTTTCTATTTCAGCGTAACTTTTCTGGATTTCGGTTTCCCTGTTTTGATTGTGGATTTTAGTACTTTGTTTTAACACAAAATTTCAAATTCAGAAAGTTGAAAACAGGTTATAATATAAAAACAAGGGAGAAAAATGCACTTCCAGGCCTAATTTTGTCATTTTTAACTTTTTTGGTAAATTTCTGTATGTTTCTCGAAGAAATAAGTGAAACAAAAAGCATTCCAGAAGAAATTTTGTAATTTTCAGTCTTTAGCAATATTTTTTTTGTTTTAACGAAATCTTACAGAAAAAGAGTCAAATCCATCAAAATAAACGAAAATGATGCGTTTCAGATCTAATTAATTTTCTGCTTTGTGTTAAAAAAGATCGAATTAGTTTCTCGATAAAAAAATTTCGTTGAAACAACCAAAAATAAGTTCGCAAATTTCTGTTTTTTTTAAGGCAAAATATTGTGAATCGTGCAACTTTCTCATAAAAAACTCTTCTAAAGTCAGAAAATAATGAGTTTTAGACCAAATTCTCATCTAGTTTTTTGAATTCAGCAAACTTCTCGATGAAAAACGCTCCAAATTTATAAAAACAGACAAAAATAATACATTTGAAGATCTAATTTTGCGCTTTTTTGGGCAAAATCTCCCAATTTTTCTGAGTTTCTCATCAAATTCTGAATTCATAGAAAATCATATATTTTCAGCTTAATTTTGCATTTTTTTACTCTGTTAGATGAAATCTCTGGAAATTTAAATTCTTTGGAACAAAAATTTTGAATTTCCTGTCTTGTTTTGGGGATTTTTTTTAATTCAGTAGGTTTTTTAATGAAAAACGCTCTAAATCCACCAAAAAAGCGGAAATAATGCGTTCCAGGATCTATTTCAGCGATTTTCTGTATTATTTTTGAAAAAAATCCAAATTTAGTAAGTTTATCGGTAAAAAAAAGTTTCAAAGTTCGCAGAAAAAAAAAACAAAAAATATTTCGCAAATTTCTGTTTTGTGTAGGCAAAGTATTCTGAACTGTGCAACTTTCTTATGAAAAACATTTTAAATTCATGGAAAATAACGCATTTTATATTTAATTTTGTAATTTTCCCCTTTTCTTTGATGAAAGGTGTGACTTTTTCGGTAGAAAAAATCTAAATAATAAACAAACAAAATTGTTTTTTGAATTCAGCAAGTTTCGCAATGAAAAAGGCTCTAAGTCCACCAAAACAAGCAAAAATAATGCGTTTCAAACCTAATTCAGCAATTTTCTGCCTGTTTTTTGAAAAAAAAAATCCAAATTTAGTGAGTTTCTCGCTAAAAAAATCCAATTTTGCTGAAAGAACCAAAAATAATTTCACAAATTTCTATTTTGTTTACGCAATTATGCAATCTTCTCATGAAAAACTTTTAAATTCACATAAAATAACGAGTTTTTGGACCAAATTTCGCAATTTAATGCAAAAAATTAAAAAAAAACAGACGCAAATGGTGCATTCAAAGATCTAATTTTTCATTTTTTACCTTATTTGAATAAAAAATTTCAAATTCAATAAGTTGAAAACCGATTACAGGTAATAAAAACAAACGAGAGAAATACATTTTCAGGGCTAATTTTGTCATTTTTAACTTTTTTGGTAAATTTCTGTATGGAAATAAATTTCTCTAAGAAATAAGTGAAACAAAAAAGCATTTCAAAAGAAATTTTCAGTCTTTTGTAATATTTTTGTTGTTTGAAAAATTAAAATCTTTCAGAAAAAAGAGTCAAATGTCAGACTCAAATAACTCAAAGATTTTCTTCTTTGTTTAAAAAAAAATCGAATTTAGAGTTCCTCGATGAAAACTTTTCGTTAAAATAATCAAAAATAAGTTCGCAAATTTCTATTTTGTTAACGCAATTATGCAACTTTTTCATGAAACACTTTTAAATTCATATAAAATAATGAGTTTTTGGACCAATAGTTTGGACAAAATCTCTTAATTTTTGTGAGTTTTTTCTTATAAAATACTTCAAAAAACAAACAAATTTTACAATTACCTCCACAAAATTCGTAGAAAACGACTCATAGAAACAAAAAAGGCAAGAAATTAAAAGATTAAATTAAATTATACCATTTTTTTATCGTCAAAAAGTTTCAAAATTCGCTGAAAAAAAAAACAAAAATTATTTCGCAAATTTCTGTTTTGTGTAGGCAAAGTAGGTATTCTGAACTGTGCAACTTTCTTACGAAAAACATTTTAAATTCATAGAAAATAACGCATTTTATATTTAATTTAATAATAAAAAAATTCTAATTTGTTGAAATAACCAAAAACAATTTCGCAAATTTCTATTTTGTTTATGCAATTATGCAGCTTTCTCATGAAAAATTTTTAAATTCATAGAAAATAATGAGTTTTTGGACCAAATTTCGCAATTTACTGCAAAAAATTTAAAAAACAGATGGAAATGATGCATTCAAAGATCTAATTTTTCACTTTTTACCTTATTTGAATAACAAATTTCAAATTCAGAAAGTTGAAAACCGATTACAGGTAATAAAAACAAATGAGAGAAATGCATTTTCAGGGCTAATTTTGTCGTTTTTAACTTTTTTGGTAAATTTCTGTACGTTTCTCTAAGAAATAAGTCAAACAAAAACGCATTTCAAAAGAAATTTTGCAATTTTCAGTCTTTTGTAATATTTTTATTTTAAAAATTAACATCTTTCAGAAAAAACAGTCAAATCCATCAAAATAAACGAAAAT